TCTTTCCCTTAGGACTGAGTACCATTTCCATACAAAGGAAGTACTCTGTGCAAGCAAGAGCTGCAAAGTCATTCCCTAAATGAGACAACAGAGACAAGAAGTGGGGGGAGGGAAAAAAAAAAAAAGAATCAAGGACTGAGTGCCAGGGTGAGAACAGACAGCAGAGGAGGAATAATCGGTGAGAGAAAGCTGAAGAGAAGGCTCTGAAGGATGATAGCTCTTCTGGATGGGAAGGCTGACTTGAAGTAATTCAGGCTGTTCCTGCTCTGTGGTGCTCCTGGGGAAGCACCTGGCCGAAGGCAATTTATCCAGCTGTCAGCTTGTTTTCACACAGACAATAAATGCATCCTGGGATTGTGACTTCAGCTAGGCACAGGATGGTTTTCCCATCTCATGCTTATTTTTGAAATTTCTGATGTTTTTCCCATGTTACATTGGGATAAACCTTGTCCATTTTTCCCCACTGAGAACCGAGTGCGGGGAAAAAGAGACACGCCGAGCATGGAGATGAGCTGAAGCTGAGGCTTCCAGCAGCATCACAGCTGGGCGACTGCGCCCCACGCTCTGCAACTATGGACTCGTAACGCGCTCAACAAAATCGCTGAAGGTTTTGTCCATTTTCCTGTGAGCAGTTAAGGTTTAAATCAATTGGCGTTCATTTGCTTTGAGCAAAGTTTTCTAGTTGTGATTCCAACTGCATCTGTATTCGAATTTCCCTTTATTTTGCTCTCCTGTTACTTTGATTTGATGAAGGGTTGTTCTCATCATATATTTCCTTCCAGCTTTGTATAATTTCATTTCCAGGAGTCCCACTCACACATGTAACCGCAGTACAGAAGCATCCTAAATAATTACTGGAGCACACCAAAAATAGGCTAGTTGGACTAATACAACTATTTGGTGTGGCCTCTCCTGTACACATAGCACAGCTGAATGACTATGCACATTGGCTGTGGTGTTTGATTGTACCTTTAGAGCACTGCTCCATATTTGTCTTTCCTTCCTCGGTTCATCTCGGTTGATTATAAATTCTGACAAAAAAAAAAAAAAAGGGGGCGGTTTATACGTGACGTGCTGACAAGACAACTACTGTGGATGGTAATAAAGTTGTGTAGTTCACAACGTAGCCTCATATTGGAAAGATATTTGTCACTGTAGATTTTGCTTGTCATGTACAGAGATGACATGCAGATCTCCCCTTCGACTGATTGAGAGTCATTCCGAGATGCATCCACCCACAAAAACCACAGACATGCTGCTTTACTCAAACCTTTACTTTAACCACTACTTTGTGATGCAAAACTGGTGGAGTTTTTGGTACTTTTTGTTAAAAATGAAATCTTTAGAGGGGTTTTCCAGCATCCTTGCTGGTTACTAAAAACAAATCAACATTAGCCTACTGGATGGGACAATTCAGTTTACTTGTGGGTGGTTTTGACATTCGAATTAAAATGTTTAGTCTGGAAGAAGGTTGAAAAGGTAGTAAATAAAAAATTAGACACAGAAGTACTGCACCTCTCTTGAAGTTACCACTTATCTCACAGTTAAAATAGTAGCTTCACATTGGTGGAGTATTTGTCCTGTTTTTACTGCAGATATCAACATCTTCTACTGACCAAGTTAAAAGATTAACAACACGGGGTCAGTCTGTTTGTAAAAGCAAATACGCCATGTTAAACATAAAGGTTACGCTGCTAACTGTTCCAACCCAGCAAATTCACAGTCCAAGACTGGACTTCCACTACACTGTTTTGAGAATCCAGTCATGTATGCTCAAAACAATGTGGTCTTCGATTAAAACAAAGAGCCCCTACCCACCCCCCCCCAA